GTCAGATCGAATAACGCGCCGTACCCCGATATTCACGTGTCACGTACACAATCTCTGCTCAAAGCGAAGATGCCACACATGTGGTCGTTCGCGATTCCGGGACGAATAGGAGCGACCGTTCCCTCATGAGCGCTCTGCGTCAGGAGTGGACCGAGCGCTGGAAAACGACGAATTTCGTGTAGGGGATCCTTCAGTCGGCATGTTCGCTCGTGTGTTGCGGGCCGTCAGACAGTACCAGCCCGTGTGAGATATTATGTATAATAAATTCGGGCGACGATGATCGGGGAGGCGACCAACGTGGACAGCTTCGTTCCGTGATGCAACTCATGAAGTCGACGGCGAGCAGCTCAGCGAACCAGTCGCAAGAATGATCAGCAGAAATGACCCACCGAAAAAGATTAGGTGTCGTCGGATCTGGTCATTCGACCGTCGGACGCCCTTTCGCTCCGAGAAGGGAAGAAAATTCGAAGAACAAGAAGATCTGCATTCGGAATAATGCAATAGATTCTTCCACGGTTCACCCTTTATGTGCCTCGCTCAATGACAGCCCGAGGTCTGGCTGAAGCAATTTATTTCGCGGTATCAACCGTAAGCACAAAGATCAAGCTCAACTCCTCCAGCCCGGCTCTTGAGTTCCTCGAGGATTTCCTTCACACGATGAAGAACACTCAACAACAATTATTCTCTTTTGGCGTTCGGATTTCTCGTCTCGTCGTTCGATACTGTCGATTAGGGCTTCTGGACCTAGCCGTGTCCAGGGAGTAGGCGCTTCCACTGGAGAAGAAATCAGTGAGGATCCGGTGTACGTGGGCCCTAGCGGAATAACCGAAACTGTCCGACTAGCTGTCGTAGTCTCGGAGCCTACGCTATCCGAGCGGAGCGTCGCTTTCCACTTTATTCGGATGATGACGGTTCTCGATTTGAGCCGAAATCGAAACAGATTTCGCTCATCGCAATTTTTCCCTCCGGATAGTCGACTCGTGCGTGCTGGCGACTCCGACTTCTGATCGCCGCTGCTAACCGAGCCAACGACGAGCAGATGAAAAGTCGGCGTTGGAGCCACGACACCGTTTTCGAGTTGGCCACCTTGCCAGCTTGCCTTCTTACCAGGCGTCTCTTCGACGACCCAGCTTAGCGGCCACCAGTCCGAACTTTCGGCCGATCGAATCGACGACGAGACGAACAGACGGGCGGACGAATGGCGGGTCGGTCGGGCGGACGAGCGAACGACCGAAGGATCGCCGTAGAAGAGGAGCCCGCTCGGTCGGATCGATAGCGACAGCGAAGAGATTTTTTCCGTCTTTGTTGACTTCGTCGTCGTCGTCGTCTTCTGCAACAGCAGCGAGTCGTCTCAAGATTGGGAAGAAGAGTAGTTGGAGGGAAGGAAACTGTCGGCGACGACGATGGAGCAGCCGTCGGATGTAGATGACGGTCCATCGGAGCAGTCGATGCCTTCGATCGAACGCTGCCCTCACTCGCACGACGATCTCCTAGACGAGAAGTCGGCAGAACTCGCTCCTTCATTTTCTGAGTTGTATGTCTAGCGACGCTTCGTCTGCATTATTTTTCCGCGAGAGAACACGGCACGTGAAAAAGTAGTCCCGAGACCGAGCGGGAAAAGGCAACAAGCAAGAAGGAAAGAATAAGAAAACAGAAAAACCGAGAAGAAGTCAAAACAAGCAGAAAATAATGTCGTCGCTCTGTCACCCGCCGAAAAGGTCGTACTGGAGCCGACGTTCGCTCAGCCACTGAATTTCTGGCGAGCGACCAAGTGAGCAGTTGGCAAGCGAGCGAAAGAGTGTCAAGAACCTAGACAGCTTGAAACAATGAACTGGTCGGACAGGACGGGGAAAATTAAAGAAAAAAAGGTCCGAGAAGTCCGGAGACTCAACGGGGACTCTTAAAGGAAAAGCATCAGGAGAATTCACAGCCTGGGAACACCCTCCGCCGACTGTAAAGGTTAGCCCCGGAAGGTCGTTACGGATCCGTGTACACAGAGAAAGAGCATTCCGGGCTCCTATAATTGCATTGAACGTCGGATGGTGGTTGATCATCCACTGAGGGCTTGAACATGAACTGAACGGCTTCGCTTTCCTGATTGCCTCGATGACGCCGGAGGGGCATTTCAACGGTCTTGCTTTAAACAATAGAATCACAACAAATGCTTGACTGGTAAGCTGCCCTCCTGCCTACAACGACGTCGACGACGACATCGTCGCTTCCTGAAGTCTACAATAGCCGTCTGCTTCTGCTCAACGGCGGAATAAGCGGCATCGTCGACGACGCCAATACGATCGCCACACTGACGTTAATAGGGGTCAAAAGCGAACCAATATTGGCGTTAATGAACGAATGAAGCTCTCGACGGTGCCAAATGGAAGTTTGCAATGAAAGAATTCTTTGTTCCGCTCAACGTGCTATCGCGCAGTGAACGCATGCCGGGCTCCGATAGATAGCAGCACATGAACCCGCGCTTAATGGACCGCAAAGCTGAATGAATGCTCAGATGTCGAGATGAATTGACAAAATCGCATCGACTACGCTTGTGCGGGATACCGACACGTGAAACGAAGATGCACGGATTACGCGCCTCAAAGCCATCGAGTTTTGATGCAATTCAACGGCGCAAAGGCTCATCGTCGATAGATTGAAGTAATTCAGCTATCGATTGGCGTGTTCCAGCGAACGGTCCCTCAGTTCGTCCGTTCGTTCTTTCGTTGATTCGTTGATTCGAAGGCGGCAGCAGCGGCCGCAACAACGAGAAGAAACGACACCCAAACAATGAGCTCACTGCCCCTTTGCAGGAAACGAATCCTGACATCAATGACTTTGTTCACCGATCGAAGCGAATTGCTTTTTTTAAACCACTGCCATTTTCGCCTTCTTCCCCGTCATCGCCAGCTACTACAAGCTCGAGAAACACCTCAAACACCGGCATCGGTGATACCCGCAGAAGCGATTCGCGACGGCTCTATATGTAGTGGTGGTTGTAGATGTTTTTTTTTCTTAGCGGCTTGACAGACGAATAGATGGCTGTTCCCTTGCCTGCTTGTCTGCCATTCCGCTTGCTTGCTCGACTTGCGTTTGTCAAGGAAGCAGCGTTGGATTTTGTTGTCGTCGTTGTGAGCTGCTGCGATGACGACGACGCCGACGGTCGACGCCCTGGCCCGCTCGATCCTCATTGCGTTTACCTGACTTCGTGTTGCAGTCAGATAAATTTTGTGGCGGTTTCCTTCGTTTGCTTGATTTTTTTTCTCCATCCTTACGAACTTCACCTCGAGACGCGCCCTGATAGACACAGCCCCCTCGGAATTATGATTCAGACTCGAGAGAGAGAGGAGCGACAGCTGAGGCGGCGAACGGATGCGTTCAAGTTGACGTTGTTGTGACATCAACTAAAAACCCGACCGACGACGGCAGAGCAAGCAAACGAGCGAGTGAACAGCGAGCCACCGAGCACAAAAACCGACCGCAGAAGAATATTTTGCATTACTAGACGCTTCGTGTTTACATATCCGCTGGTCAAAGGTCTGACAATATCTGAAACGCCCGGCGCCTGGAAACCCTTCGCGGTCGATGGGTTGTTCGTAGTCGAGAGAGGAATTCCTAGATGATGCGAAAACAACGGATGGCTATCCTTCTAAAGTCTCAGCGATAGTTCTCGAATGTCCCGGCAGACCGAGAACTATACGGCAGAGACGTTGACTCGAGATCCTGTCTCGACTCGAGGAGGAATGCCTGATGGACCTCCCTCCGAAGGTAGACATGAACGAGGTGCATTGGAACGTTTCTACGCGGAAACGAAGGTAAAGAAATAGTGGCGCCGAGCTTGCACGCCAACAGAGAGCTGGACAGATCGATCGGACGATTGACTGGTCGCCCGTCAGCTGTCAGTAAACCGGGGGAGCCAGAAGTATCCGCCTCGATTGAATCACGCGCACGTCTTTCCGGCGTTTCTCTCCCTTTCCGTGCGAGGCGGTAACGTTTTCGTTCAATTTGGAAATCTGTGTAGCCTTCCGAAACGAAAACCGAAGGATCGGAACCTCCTTCCGGACACCCTCCGCAATTGTCCGATAGCGCTCTTGTCTCGACTGGTTCTCTTCTGTGGTACCGTCGCATGGCTCCGCACAGCGCCTGATATTTTTTTCCCATGAGAAAACGAAATGGAACTGCGCGCCGGTGGCCAAGGTCCTCCTTTCGTGAGGCGACAAACGACCGGAAGAATCTTTTTGGATATTCTCTCAGAGGGAAAACGCTTCCGAGATTCTGCCGGGAGATTAGGATTTCCCCCGAAAGAGGCGGAATTCTTTGCCTCGACTCCAATGCACGGAAACGATCACGAGGTCTCGCGCGAAGGAGTACTCCGCACTGCTCGGAGCTCCTGGACTCAAAGCATTCTAGGCAGTCTGCCGATCGTAGCTATTCGCTACGAGTGCTTAATGGTTTCTGATGGGTTCATCTACCAACCGAATGGCCGGAGCATCGCTCGTTCCGGGTGGCGGCTGTGCTTCTGTCAGGTGATCCCCTCGAGCACAGTGTTCTTCTGCCCGACAATCATTGACACTTTGATGATTAGGTGACTGGCGAATCTAGTCTACCCGGGAGGAGCGAGATGGTCTTTTTATCTTCCTTCCTGTTTCCCTGTGCCCTACGGGGCTCGCGGTTCAGGTAATTGCTACCGTATTCGAGCGGCCGGCCGGCCGGCCGACTGGTTGGTTGTCCCGCGATGGTTGCTTGCCGTGCCGATCAGCGTACGATCGTCTTTCCGGACGCCGCCACAGCTGCTTTACGCAGCCGATGGCTCTTCCCGAAGATGGCGCGGTTCTGGGTTAATATCCACGCCTCGATTTGTCGGTTTCTGCGATCGCGGGCGCCGATGTCGGGAATGTTTGTTTTTCGTGTGAATTCGTCCTTTGCGCGATAGCCATAGACATCGATAAAATCTCCCGATGGATGTTCCGGCGAGCAGCCATGTCTCAACTTACGGATGCCAATGGCACATGTCGGCGCGACGAGGCGAGTCAAGTTGCAATCGACGTGAGAGCCTCGCACGAAATCACTGTCGCTCACTGTCCGCGTTCCTAGAACAATGAGCTCTGGGCAATCGATCGGTTGTCCGGGAGTCGAACAACGACAATCAGATGCGGCACGGCGTCGCATCGGGTGGACGTCGGGGTAAAGTCTTCTCTCGGGAAATCGTATCCATGTAATGCGCATCCACTTAGACAGATTGTCGCGAGTCGGCACGGAGAGAATCTGTCGGGTTTCCAGATGTCGCCCAATGAGAAGAGAGTCGAAATTCGGTAGAACTTCCCAGGATCTCGGAGCTGCCCAGCTAACGATTTTTCTTTTCTTCCACAGTGATACCGCGGGAGGAGCATGACATCCGGGAAGGCGACACCCTCATGCTGACCTGTCCGCTGCTCAACACCCCGAGCAACAGTGTGCTATACTGGAACTTCAGTCCATCGGGCGATGCGAAACCCGACGTCGTAGCCATCGGACAATCATCCCTGAAACCGTCGTACACGGTCAACCTCATCGGCGACAACTACACGCTCGAAATCGATTCTGCGCGCTATGAGCGCGACAACGGAATTTTCCATTGCCAGGCGAAGCAGGAGAAAACCGGAAAGCAATACTTCACCAAAGAGCATCAGGTCACAATTCTGATGGCGCCCGGTGATCCGAAAATCACGCCGACCCAGCCTTTCGCCGAGGAGGGCAAACCCTACAACTTGACTTGCTCGTCGACGGGCGGGAGTCCTGACCCCGACATTTCGTGGATCAGAAACGGGCAAGAGATTCCATCGATTTACATTCCCGGTGGATTCCGAAAGAATCCCACGAAAGCTGTGCTCACCATAACGCCTTCGAAAAACGATGACCGAACGCAGTACATGTGCATGGTGAAAAGTCGTGCTCTGCCTCCCGGAACTCAGTTGGACACTAAAGTCACGCTGAGGGTTTCGTATTCGCCCAAAGTTTCCGTCGAGGAAGAAGTTCTGCGAGTGATGCAGGGCGACGACGCCGTCCTGACTTGCAAAGCCGAAGGAAATCCTGAAATTCGCAGCTTGAAATGGTATCGAGACGGTCATCTGGTCAGTCATTCGGCCACTCACGTTCTCAAGGCGGTGAAACCCGAAGACTCGAACGAGTACACCTGCATAGCGACGAACGGCGTTCAGCCCGATGGCCAGGCCAAGGTGAAACTCGACGTTCTCTTCGGTCCGAACGTGAGAGTCATCAGCGAGCGTGAAGCCAACCAGGGTGATCGAGTCACCGTCGACTGTCAAGTGGATTCGAACCCTGAGCCCTCGAAAGTCTATTGGATCCGGGAAGGAGACGATTTCCGGCAGGACGGACCCATGCTCAACATCGAGAGAGCCTCACCGAAAGACGATGGCTTATACTATTGCGTGGCCGAGGTGAACATGATTCGCTCCTCCGTCGGGAGACCGACCTTTGAAACGAAAGTTGTTGGCAACGCTACCCTGCAGCTGAATGTGAAACGTAAGTTGATAGCGTCGCGTTCATTTTGTTCTTTTTGCTTCCTTGGAAGTTCTGTCGTCCGATGTTCCACCGAATCTCGACCTGTCAGGGAAGGGAGGAGGAAACAGAAACGAAACCCGATACGATCAGGCAAAGTCCGAACGAGACCCTCGTATCGCCTCGCTAATGAATGTCGTTAAGGCGAGCTCTGCTTAGGAGATACAAGTATGAAAAATAAGATGCAAAAAGAAACAGAATGGAGCGTTTCTGGTCAGACGCTGATGGATTGTCCTAATTTTTCAGATAAACCCGGAACGACTCGCATCTTGCCCAAGAGCCCAATCGCTGTGGTGAAGAAATCCTTCACCCTCGAGTGCACCTCCGACCCCAAAGGATACCCGCGACCTCAATACCGTTGGTGGAAAGAAGGAAGTGAACACACCGACCTCTCTCGACGGGCGAACTACACCATCGTTTCGGTCCTTCAGGACCACGAAGGAACCTATTACTGCCAGCCGGAGAACGATCTGGGCAAAGGCACCGTCGCCCGCGTATTCCTCCAGGTCAACGAGGCTCCGCAGATCTCAGTCCCGCTGCGACCGCAGATCATCCGTCGAACGGGAGAAACACCTCAACAGATCAGCTGTCGCGCATCTGGAAAACCCAAGCCTTTCGTCTGGTGGACCCACAACGGACAGAACGTCTCAACGGCCGACCAGAGATTCAGTATCTCGACTACCGAAAACGCCGAAGCGCAGAAAACCGTAACTGTGAGTTCGTCGTTCAGCTTCGTCAAACCGCTGACCGCTAACGAGCGTGGCAAGTACGCTTGCCACTTCAGCAACGGATTCGGAGAGACCTCGACGTCCGAGATGACGCTCCGCGTCGAGCATTCGCCCGAGGTCCGACACACCTACAACCGAGTGGCTTTCGATGTCGGCGAGACCGCCTACCTCGAATGCCGAATGCAAGCCTACCCCGAACCGACGTTCGAATGGACGTACCGCAGCCGAACTGTCGGCACTTACAGCCAATACTCGACAAACAAAACCGACAACGGCGACGACATCTACACGGGTCTGTTGAAAATTTCCAACATCAAAGAAGACGACTACGGTGATTACACCTGCCGGGCATTCAACAAAATCGGTCAGGACCAGAGAACCATCATAAAGCTGGTGAAGAAGAGCCAGCCCGACAAACCCACCGACGTGGTGGCTGTGGACACCCAATCGGATAGGATCACTTTGGCCTGGAGACCCGGCTTCAACGGCGGGTACGCCGACACGATCTACATCGTCAATTACGTCGATGAGAACGGACGCGAGAAGAACGAATCGTGCCGCCAGTCGAACCCGTGCTCGATCCCTGGGCTCGAATCCCTGTCGAGATACGCTTTCAAGGTTATGGCCAGCAACCCTAGAGGACATTCCGGATTTTCCGAAGCCACCGAAGTTCTGACGAGGTTAGCTATTCAAGACATGCCGCTCCCGATCGCTCAATACGATTTCACCAACGGAATGGTCCACGTGAGCCTCAATCACGTCCCGCCGAAAGCCTCGCTGGATCATTTCGTTATTCGGCTCGAGGCTCGTGTTCGTGGCGAAGAGAAATTCCGACTGCTCCACGAAGCGTTCCCCGTGCACGGGAGTCACTCGCAGGTCGAAGTCGATACCGCCCATGACCAGATCGATCCAGAAACGCTATCAGATGTGCGAGCCATGGTCTGCCTACAGAGCAATTTGACTTGGTGCGGTGAAGCCCGGATGGCGGAACCTTTCAATCACGAGAACTGGATCTCGAACTCGGCCGCGAGCTCATCCCTGTCCACCATAACGATGATTCTGATAATTTGCGTTGGGATCGGTCTGTTCTGCATGGTGCTGGTGTTCCTGTGCTGCTGCTGGAAGAAGCATTCGACCACTCAACAAACCGAGAAGAAAGACTACAACGCTCAACTGAATTCGACCATCACGAATTCTCAGCCACCGTGCTATTACGACTCGATGACAAAATCCGGAATCGTCGAAACCGCGATGGACGAACCGATCAAAAGCAACGGCGCCGTACCGGGAGCTGAGCAACCAGTCAACGGAGGATTTGTTCATGCTCAGCCTCAGTATCTCGATCATGATCCCATGTACGGCACGATGATGAACACCAACGACTACTACATCGGCAAACAGGATCCCTACTCTCGTTAGTAAAAATTCCTAATCATCGAAAGTATATCGTTCTCGCACAGATTTATCGTCGATCGAATAATCAACACATATCATCTGCCAATCAGGACGCGGAAGCTCACGGGGGCGTTCGCAGACAAGAAAGACGAATCGTGAATAAAAATCATTTTCCAATCTTTGCAGCGTACGATCCAACGCCCGGATACTTTGGCTACCCCGACGAGCACGGCATGTCCGATATGCACTATGACGTATCGGGACTTCCGAACCCCTACGGTACCACAGATGATTTGATGCACGCCCACTATCTAGGACATACGCCATCGCAGCAGATGGGGGACATCAATTGCAACGAGTCCGTCGATTCCGTACAAACCAATGGGCAACGACGAGTTGTTCGAGAAATCATCGTGTGAAGCTGCAGTAGGGAAGGTCAATAGAGCCAAGTGTATTATTCGTATGGATAGATGAACACGTGGGAGGAGTTACACATTCACAGTGATGGAGGAGCAGAGACGTATACTGTACGCTCAAAGCTTGCCAACCCGAGGTCCCGACCCAGGTCGTGTGCCAGGCGTCAAAATGTGACAGAGCTCCTCGAGAATTCCAGTGTTCCACAGGTTCGAGCCACGAACAAATGTGTACAGGAAGTGTGAAAAAACTACAAGTCCTCAGTAGTCGACGGATCGACAACGACATCGAGTTCATCGTTGTACATGTTGTAAATAATTGCGCCACTTGCGACGGATGTGGTTCCGTGCCAAAAGCATACGCTAGTTAGCCCGTCCTCTCCAAGCTCCTCATGGAATTACGTTTCGGATATTAGAGCTAGCTATTATCGAGTACCGCACAGTACCCTTCGGGAAGCGGTTGATCCAGCGCTGATCGACCCTGTCGAGGAACGAGAGTCGAAAACGAAGAGGCGCGCTCCTCTAATTCCTTCGGAGATGAGTTCCGACTCTGGCGGCACTCTGTGTCACCACTTGGAATGGAATCTTGACCAATCGACATAGATACCCTCATCGACGTTCATCATTCTGTCATTAGGAGAAAAATTTCGCCGCCTCTATCTTCATCAGGACCGTAGAGATTTGATAAAAAAAACATAGACAAAAACGAGCTCCAGCGCGTCTCGGGGTATGCAGACTTCTAGTACGGAAAAGAGTTATAAGGGCCCACGGTGAAAGCCATCATCTGTTGTGTGACCGTAATCACTTTTGAAAAACTCCATCGATGGCTGCCCGAGAACATTTTGCAGTTTCCTCCCTTGAAACACTCATTCAACCCGTTGGCCAAGCAAGATTGACAGAAGTGCTTCTCTGCCGTGTGAGTCATGTCGCGCTGAGCATCGCGGGGATTCCGATGGTTGGCCGAGCAAGATCGCGAGCCATCCCGGCTTCTCTGGGAAATGTTGGCACGTCACCAGCGTCCACTCTACAGAAGTATTTCAGTCGTGGAAAGTGATTTCTAAACCGACGAAACCACGGCAACCCATGCAGACGATCGCGAGGACCTCGATTCCTGGTTCGCTGGGCTTCGCGGTTGTTGCTCAAGCCGTCATCACGATCGGTGCTTGAGAATGCACTGGAAGCACAGCCACGGCATTCTCTTTCGGATTCCGTAACAACGGATCGAATTCTTCGTTGAGGAGTGCTATGACACAGCGGATTGACAATACGATGACGAAACATCATAGGTTGTTAACGACTCACTAAGTAGGAAGGGATTGAGCGGCGGGAGGTCACACATAGGTATTTATATCTTTCGGAAGTGCCATACTCCATCGTTGCTGGAAGAGGAGATGATGGACGCACCTCCGCCATGCAGAAGCAGCAGCTAGACTGCCAGCAAGCTCATTTAAGTTATATGATGATTACTTTGTTCATGTATATAAATCCAAGAGGAGGCGGAGATTAGGGGAAGAAGAGCAGAGCTGACTTAGGTACGACGAAAGGCAATACTGTCAAATGTAAATAGGAACAAATTATCAGTAACAGAACGAGGCAAATGACAAATAAAGAGGTACCTCGATAGTACCACTCATGACCACTTTCAAATATTTCTTATTTGCTTCATTTCAACATTTTGCTCTGAGGTAGATGCCTGTCTTGGAGCGTCGTTACGAGACTCGATAAGATGATTTCTGGCGTCCCAGGAACCCACAGATCATTTGAACTGAAAAAACATGGAAGTTACCTCCAGGCAGCACTTCAAAAACTCATCTGTAGTGACAGGGCCATCGGGATATCCCGTGTAAGATCGACTGAGACATCGTCATTCAACTCGGAAAAGCTTGACCTTAAGGGAATGAGTCCGAGATCCTCTGCGAGCACTCAGAGACCCATTGAAATGATCGAAAACCGTGAACGAAGTCGAAGATCCCAAGATTGCATGGAACAGGGATGCTCCCGGCCAACTGATAATTCCAATCCGGATCGAATTCCACGGCCTAAAAAATCGATTCGAGCTGCGAATCAGACAAAAAGTGAAATTCCCGTGAGAATTTCGATGTTAGATAGTATCCCGGAATCCATCGTCTGATGCTTGTCTGCTTCAAAGGCCGATCAGGTCCTAGCCTGAGTTTTCTGATTAGCGGGCAAGTTGCCAGCGGGGATGAGTCATTCCGAAATTTTTCATTCATTCTCCGTGGGTCCATTGTGCAGGGGAATGTATCCCGAGGGAGAATTCCTGAGGAATAGTCGTATTAATCAATCCGCAAGAGAACCATTCCGGATTCAGAATCTCAACGATCTGAGTCATTCAAGGCCTTTTACGAATACCTGACGAACCGGTACCTTAATATTTGAAACTACGCGAGTCATGTCAATCCAAGGTTGATCTTGCACACTGACTCCTTCGACACCAGATCAATCGGAATCTAGACGTAAATTCGCCAGAGGTGATCGGGGAAGTCGACATCACGCCCTAGAGCCACTATGCATCGCAGAATTCACGAAACCAAAAATTCGAGTTACGCAGCGGAACAATCATAGACCCCCCCCAGTCGTTCTTCATGCGACTTACCGGAAGTGGTTTGTTCATCCAGACGAAAAGGCTTATCCATGCATTTATCCTTAGTTTTCTCGCGAGAAGCAGTCCATCATCAACCCATATCTAGGAGAGAGAGTCGCTTTTTCGCGACCGTCGCTCAAATTATCCTTCCGATATTCCGGAAAATTATCGTCATCGACCTGAATCGCGGAAAATACGGAGGATTGTCCCCGCATCCGCTTGTGAAAAGGCATACGAAACGTCGAATCGTGCAGAACCCGTCCCAGCACTTCGGCGGCTGATCTTGTAGATTGTAATCTGTGTCGTTCGCCTTTCTGATTTCGGGGAGATACCTCTCGCGCTTCGGCAGCGTGATGACACCACCCAAGCTTCCTCAGAAGACGATCTATCAAGCCTGGGGACTCTCCGGCGGCACTGGGATCTGGCTCTTGCAGAGGGTGTCGAGATGATCTGTTTCGACTCAGACTCAACGAAGGGATCCACCGAAGCGAGGCCTCACCCTCTCTAGCGTTCATGTACGTTCCCCGAACGGAGTGATATCCCCTCGGATATCTTGAGGGTCGCATCATCGAGATCTGGACACCGTGAAACATCCCACTCACCAGCCGCGGAGGATATGGACGCAGAAGGGTACCATTTCGAGAGCAGGATGGCGGCGATGCTACGATAAGGAACTAGCATTATCATTATACCATCACATTATCAACCTTTTACCTTGTGTATTATTGCACTAACCAGCTAATTTACCATTGTGTATTGGAAATAATGAGGATGCATATAATAATCGACGGCAATCTTTCCCTGCGGACGTTCGTCTCAATGATTGCTCCTTCCGAGATCATCAGGCTCTCGTTTTGACGTGGAAGGTGTTCACAGTGGCCCCTGGGGAAATTCTATAGAAACTTGGGGTCCGTACACCTTGTCCGACTCACAGTTCCATCTCATAGATAATCGTCGAGTTTTTCTCTTGCAACAAATTACTTTTTGGAAATCACTGGTCCGCAATACGCCGAGGGAGAACTCCAATGCAAGATAGGGTTTGGGGTGTGTTCCGTCATGATGTAAGGAATGGTCTCGTCGTCCAAGCCACATTTTATACAGTGCGGCTCGATCTTTAGATATTTCGCTCTGTGCGACCTCGTCAGTAGCATCCCCGCTCTTGCTAGGGCTAACAGAGCCTATTATATTGTTATTATTATTATTATTTCTATATAATACGTACACTACCGATCAAAAATTTGAGAACGCTCGAACATTGGTCGAAAATTGTGAAGGAAATGCGCTCCGTGCTTGCATTCGGCACTCCAGGCGTACGTGTAAGGGCTAACACACCGATAAACATGATCAACTACGTCTTTGACATAAACTCCATGCAACATGCAACTATCGCATGGCACCGCCAACGGCCATATTGAAAACGGAATTCTCAAGGGGCCGTCGCAAAACATTCAAAATTCGGCGGGAGCTCCCTCCCTTCGAAACTGGATGAGGGTCCAAATTTCAGCTCGGGTCCTACACTAGATGCCAATAAAATAATCATTCTCGAAAGTGCCGCACCGCAAAGCGTAGTTCATAAGATCTGGAGGTAAGTTGCAGTTGTTCAATTCGTTTGCGCAACGAAATTCATTTCGGAGGCGATCTTAAACCAAGCTGCGTGCTTCGCGTCTTGGTCTATACGTAAATGTCTCGGCGTGCTCAAATTTCGCCAGAGAAGCGAGCCGCGATCGTGGCTTTGAGGAGAGCACATTTGATAGGGACATTGCACGTCTTGAAAATGTCTCACTTTGCGGTGCTATAACCGCAGTCAAACGGTATCAGGAAACAGGCAAAAACTGTGATAGACCCAGAAGGGGAGCACCGCGCAGAACAACCAAGGCGGAGGATCGCTACATGTGCGTGATGAGCAAGCGCGATCGATTCAAGACAGCTCGGGATATCCGTGGTGACCTCATGGAAGGCAGAGATGGAGAAATATCCGTATCTCTAGTCAAACGCCGTCTCCGGGAAGTTGGGCTTGAAGGAAGGATTGCTTGCAAAAAGCCGTTGCTCCGACCGAAGAATAGGCAGAAAAGATTAGGCACAAGAACTGGACGCCATCCGATTGGAGGAAAGTCCTTTTCACGGACGAATCAAAGATCGAGACAAATCGAGATCGGTAAATGTTACCAGATCACCATCTTTCGAGTAAAGCCTGTGAATGTGAAATTCGAAAACGCCAACCACGACTTTGAGGTGCAGCTCACCAAGGTGTGTACGCGTCTGCGGATCTCCACAAACATATGACATAGCCGGCACAGCCGATGATATACCATAAGAGATCTTTCTTTTAAGTTAAGCAAGATAAGGGAAATCGATAACGCTATCATACCTGAGCTGAAGACGGATCTTACGCCTATCGTAGAGATCCTCGGGAGGAATGGAAACGATTTCGTGAATGTAATGGCCATTGTATACGATGTTGAACCAGCGCAAACCGTTGACTGCCGAGACGCGAAACCCCGTACTCGCCAAAATGTGACATTGGTAGACAACTCCCTCAGAATGGTGAATCTCTGCCTCTGGCAAGATTTTACCGGTATGGTTGATAATATGG